TCTTCCTTAAAATAACTGATATCAGAGATGTTGGCAAATGGTATAGAAATGATAGACGGATCAATTTTCATGATGAATAAGATGTCCACACGATTTTGAGTTTGAATAGTGTCATAAATACAATTGAGAGATGCTTGATAATCCTTACTAGTCAATAAAAAGTGATTAAATGATAAAAAACCACCTTGTGCCTTGATCAACTGATCAAAGTCTGTTTGTGACACACGTTGAACTCGATAAACGGTAAATGGTCTCATATATGTCCGTCCAATGTATTGTTTCATATGAAGAGAGGCGATGTGGTTGTGGAGATCTTGAATGAAAAATCCCATGCGCATGATGAGATCTACTTCCATCAGACGTAATGCTCGATTGAGCATTGAAGAAAGAAAGCCAGGATGAGTATACCACCAGATCGCGAGCGACTGCTGGTATTCTCGTTCGAATTTGCCGACATTCTGAAGTTCCATCGGATTCTTGGCGAAAACTTGACGACAGTATGTAATAAAATCATCAAAATAATGTTTCTCGTAATGGATGTTTAATATAATTTCTTTCATCATCTGAGTAGCTGTAAACGATGCATTTGATTGATCCGGATTTTTTTTAATGGCCTCATGATCATTGATGATAATACTAATTGAGATCAAACTTTGGTCATATTCATCTATTGCTTGTTTAAGGGCTTTACAGATGGGTGCAATACTCGTAAAGACACCTCTTATTTTTGGCCAGTTTCGAGCCCATGTTTCATGTAGAGCTCGGTTTGCACAAAAAATGTAGATACTACTAATCTGTGGCTTGTTGTGTATCATGGGAACTGCTATTTGACCCAATACACCAGAAGAGATCATAAGCGTTTTTTCATCTTTGATGTTGTCGATAAAATTGATACATTCTTTGGCATCAGTGAATGTAACGACCTTGTTTATCACTTTTTTTAATTTTGAAATAGTATGTATAGAATCTTTATTCTTCACTTGATCAATGCTTCCATCGAGCCAGATCAATAAAAACTTCTGAATCGTATATGGAAAGGATGATTGTTTTGGTTTTAATCTCGTATTTTCCGCTGGTACACTAGAAGTAGCAGATAGTTTTACTTTTAGATTTGTTGTTCCGTTATACATTGTGCTTTGAGACGAAATTATGAAAATAGATGATGAAGAAAAAAACGACAACAAAAATACGTTTGTATTTTAGAGCAGTATTTTCATGAGTAATGAATAAATAAGTGAAGCATAGTAATGTATAAATACTGTGTAATTATATATCGTTGCTAAAAAGCAATCAAATCAGAGAAAAATAAACGTACGTTTGTTGTTATTTTTCTTTTGCGATGATTTCATGAGCTTCTCTCTTTCTCTCTTGTCATGTCTTATCATTTCTTAATTTATAGATAGCAATCAAAGAGTCATCCATGGTTGCTTCGATGTGCATGTATAGACAAGGAAGAAAAAAACAATATATAGCAATATCCAATAGCTAGTGAAGCAGTTGTATATGTTTTTTTTTTTTATCGAACGTAAAATAAAAAAAACACTCATGTCTATATACTATGATATTACGTTATTTAAAAGTAAAAAACATGCTTCTATCTTTTCGTATATATTTCATATTGATAGTTGATTTTGTACATTCAAAAATATTTTATGAGAAAAAACAAATTAATATAATTTTTTGCTTGTTGTTATTATTGACTACACGTTTTACCATAGTATAGGTGTAAGCATTAGAGTGTTATATGGCAGTTTCGTACGAGTGTTATAACATACATTCTTTTCTTTTTCTCTTTCTCTTTCTGTCTTTCACTTCGCAGTTATGCGTAGATGAAAATAAGAGTAGATATGCCAATAGCGCAGCCCTTAGGCGTTACACTTCACTTCGCTTCGCTTCTATTACTTCTTTTCTTTAATCTCAATTAAACTTTGTATTTTTTTCTTTATTGTCCTTGTTTTCATAATCGTATATAGCAATTCATTTTTCAAACATAAATATAGAGAGAAGAAAATGTGTACATGTTTAACTATGTTCATTGCTTCTTTTGAACATGAACGATAACACTGTTGATCTTGACGATGTACATTTTTGGGGGAGAAACGGTTACGATAACCAGTCCACCGATGAACGCGTTAAAAACCTCTAGTTAAGAGCGATATGTTGCTTCATTTAGATTTTTTTTTAACATAACGATGACTAATGATATTAAAAACTGGTCTTCACCGTGTGTTTTTAATATGTTCACCAATTTGAACTTGCGCAGCAGTGATAGTTCTGGGTGCTCTTATAGAGACAGTCTCACGGACTCACATCGTCCTAGTGACATGAATAAGCTGACAAATAAAAACAGAAATATCAAATTGTATAAAGTATTTCATTTCTACGCTAAGCAAACCTTGACGACTAATATCCATCAGTATCGCTTCCATCTCTGACGCTTGCAAATGATAATCCAATAAATATCTTTCAACAGTTTTGTCTGATTTCTGCAATATTTCATCAAAGACTCATAATTATACTTGTTATTGAAATTCTGTGAAAATCATACGATCACTTGGAACTAAAAGAAATACAAATCTTCAATATGAGATGAAGAACATAATTAATATATATATAGAATACATAAATGACAGAAGGATTTTATCAACTGTTTATAAATTCAGACAAGATGAACGTAGGTACTCTCATTCGTCTCATTTTGACATGATACTTTAGAAAATGAAGCTCGGCTAATTAATTATTCTTTGTAATCTGTTCATATCAATCTCACATCATGCACTTATTCTAAATAGAACATTTATGTAAAAAACTTTGAAATTATATTTATGATAGTTCATCAGCACAATTATAATAGTTTGTCGTGATAAATTGGAAATGATTGGCAGGTTTTTTTTCAAAATAACTGTTCTTGTAGTTGTGAGAGAGATGATACAAATTTGATGATCACATCTAAAAACAATATTTTTATATTTGTTTTGTAATTGAAAAATATTTCAAAAATATCTCATGAAGAAACAACTATTGTAGATGTCAAAAAATCTATTATGAGATGTTGTTTTATCATATTCCACTGTTTATTAGACATAAGAAAGAGACAACATAATAGCTTAACAGTGTTTAGAACAAGATATTGTCAAAAATAGAAAACTCTTTCTTTCTTTTGTCTTTTTTCGTTTTTTTGTCGACTGTGACACTAAAAACATTGATTCTTTTTTATTGAACACAATCGTTTACGACAAATAGTCTTGGTATTGTCTTTTACACCATTAATAAAATACTTTAGATGTGACAGTGAGCTATTTATACGAAATGCTAATATATATAATTTTAAAATTTTTTAAAGTTCTATAATTCTATCTTTCTGTTTTAAATTTAAAAAGGAAACATTTTGTAATATACCATGATCATCAAACATACACGCTAGATAAAAGAACTCAATCGAAAATAATCTTCTGATTTATTATATAAATGATTTATAAAAGATAAGATTTCACAAAACAAAGAAATAGTAACAGAGAACGTATTACAGCTTGTATATCAAGATGTAAACCGATGAATTGATCAATGATGGTGATTGAAATCTTTTGATGAAGTTTTCAAAAAATTTTCTTAATTTCAAGAGATTTTGAAATGAAAAAGAGTGAGAATGATGGTAGAGAACTTATTGACAAGAAACTAGACCATAACATTTCCAAAAATCTTATTTGAGACATCGGAAACTTTTAAAAACTAAATATATATTTGTGTGATGATGGCGGCGGCTACTTAGCCGATTGGCTTACATCTCTACTGGTATGTCACTTCCATGACAAAATTTTTAAACAAACAATTTAGTAATTAAAAAGCGTAATTAAACAACTGTTTATATTGTATGTAAACAGGCCGATTTGTTGCTTTCTGGTCGTCTCATAACTATAGAAAATTAGTACACTCAATGCAAGAATAACGTTTTAAGTAAATCACATATTCTTTTTATCGCAGTATCTTTTCGTTTTGCTGTATACAAGCATGTTGAAAAAAGTATCTAAGTTTTTTTTTATAGGCAAAGATAATGTAATAATATTTCTCATGTTGCACGTTTGTTCGTATTAACACCAATATATCAGCAGTAGATTGTCGCTTGGAGAGCAACTATTGGTATACTGCTGTAGAATGATGATCAGAAGATCGCTGGCCGTATAAGTATCGAGCTACCGACGGCTTTTATCTGATTTAAATTACATGGATTATGCTATGAGGGGATCAAACACCATTGTGCACTCCTAGAGTAGTTAAAATTTTGTCACCAACAAGAATGCAAAATATATTTATTTGATAAATACAAAAGAGATTATCTGAATTCAATATCAAATAAAAAAAAAACCACAGTTAAATTGACTATTTCCATGCACTATCAAGTTCAATATGTGTATCATAAACAACAAATTCACGAATGACTTTAATTGGTGGAAAATTATTTTTTGTCAAATATTCTACTACTTCATTATTGTTTTGAAATGCTTTTTCTCGACCAACATCAAATAGACGCATTGTAATCATATAATAAGATTCTTTTTCATCTAGTTGTTTAAATGCATTCTGTGATACATGTAAATGAAAGTTATAATTTGATTGACATATGTTGCGAAGTTTTTCTAATTTTTGTCCTTTATGATCTTTTTCTATCAAGACTTTGTAATGAAATTCAAAATAATTTGTTTCTTTATTCCAAAATAATTTTTTTTCAATATCTGTTTGTGGTACACCTTCATTCGATGCTAATGATTCAATTTTAATACGTATAATATTAAAATCTTGAAAATGTTTATATGCTTCTTCTTCAATTTTTTTAACAATTGATGGATATTCACCACAATGATATGATGATGTCATTAATTGTTGAAGTTTATCTTTTTGTTGATTAGTATCCAAGTCAATAAATATAATTTTATATTTCGTATTTTCACATTGTTTTTGAATTTTTTCAATAACTTCTTCAGTATTATGTGTGCAATCAAATGTAATGTGTGCTTCGAAGGTACCTTTGACAATATTTGTTGGTACAAGTGCATCTAATCTTATTTTATATTGAGTACTTAAATTTTCAACAAAATTAAGGACACTAAAAAGAAAACAAACAATAATTCACTCTTAAAAAAAGACTAGACTTTTTTTTTTAAATCTTACTTTTGCATATTTGAATCATCTGTTGGATCACCATGTATATCTTTCATTTCACTGAATATATGTGATACACGTTTAAAATTATGTATTGAACGTGTTTGAATTAATTGTTCAGCGAAATCTAAATATCGAAAGCCGTGAAATAAAATTTTGAATAAATAATCTTTGCTTGATTGACTTGTTTGACTTGATCGTGAACTACGTTGTGGATAATTTGAATTGTCATCTAAATTATACATATTTATAGCTGTGAGATTTTCATAAAATGCGACTTGTTTTAATCGATATGTATTATAATATTTTTCCAGATAAATTGGACGAAAATCAATTTCTTCTTTGATTTTAAATTCATCAGGTAAAAATATACATTCAATAGCAAGTAAATAGTTTTTTTCTAATAGTTTTTCAAAATTTTCCACACTATGAACACAAACATCATATTGATTCCATAATTTATGTAAGTCAAATGGATGAAAATAATCGAAATCATCATTAAATTGTAGTGGATTTTGATAAGGTGATCGAGTTACAATCATAAGATCTCGGTCAGATGTAGGTGAATTGGTACCATATACCCATGAACCATAATTGTAAATATTGGCCACTGAATTCTCATTTAAGTTAAGTTCATGCAAAATCAATGAAATTGTAGAACGATCCATTTTATGTAATGAATTGATAATAATTGTGAATTTTGTATCGAGTGATCGCTTTATATACAGTGAAGCAAAAGAATTGTGTCTATGTTGTGCAATTCAGATTCA